GTCCAAGAGAAACCAAATCTGCTTAATTCAGAGGAAAGACACCTGCAATACCTCTGAGAGGGACATGGTGCTTCTCTCTTTAGTAACAAAGCAAATGGCAGGAGGTGTCATTCTGGATCGAGGACAAAGCTGTGTCTGCACTTAGGTGTGCTCATGCTGTGCTTGTGAATGTGTGTGCACCTATATGATCTAGTGTCTGTGTCTATGTGTGTAGCAGATGTGTGTTCCTATGTGACAGATGACCCAGTACATGTATCTACTCCCACAACTCTACATTTCACATGCCTGAGTATTTGAGCACAAATCCTAAACTTTTTTGGAACACTGAGAGGCTGTGGTAAATTGTTAATAATTAGAATTATACCAGAAAAACATTGTCAAACACAGGAGGAAAAGGGTAACAGAGAAAATCCATGTGAAGCCACTGCACTGCCATAATAGGAAAATGGACACAGCTGTGCTATGAATTCTTAAGTTATTTAATTTCCTGTTATTCCTACTATCGATTAATAATTAACCGGGGGTGGGGGAAGCTGACTTTTAAAACAGGGTCTTGGATGTTTTCTGCTGTGCGTGAACCAGCGGGTGTATGTGACACTTACAGAAGTGTGTAAAGATCTCTGAGAATGAAAGTTCCATCCTAAACATTAAATGATCACTAATTATTTCCATAACCAAACAGTGTTCAGAGACTAGATCCAAGAAAAGCCAGGGCAATGCTAAGCCCAGCTCTCCTGTGAGAGGGTGTGTCCTGACTAGTTTTATGTCAACTTGACACAAGCTAGAATGATTTGAAATGAAGGAACAACAATTAAGAAAATGTTTCCATAAGACTGGACTGTAGGCAAGTTTATAACACATTTTCTTTCCTTTCTTCTTTTTTTTTTCTTTTTTTCTTTCTTTTTCTTCCTCTTTCTTTCTGTTTCTTTCTTCCTTTCTTTCTTGTTGTTGTTTTTGAGACAATGTTTCTCTACATACCCTAACTGACATAGAATTCACTATGTACACCAGACTGGCATCAAACTCAAAGAGATCCACCTGCTTCTGCTTTCTGAGTGCTGGGATTGAAGGAATGAGCCACAATGCCCAGCATGCATTTTTTAAATGCTGATATTGGAAAGTCTAGCTCATAATAGGAAATGCCACCCCTGGGCTAGGAGTCCTGGGTGCTATAAAAGGCCAACCAAGCAATCTAGGAGAGAACAAGCTAGTAGGCAGCACTCCTTAATGGCTTCTGCTTCACTTCTTGCCTCCATGTTCCTGTCTTGAGTTCCTACTCTGGCTTCTCTCAATGATGTGAAACTATAAGCTGAAATAACCCCTTTCCTCCCCAGGTTGCTTTTGGTCATAGCGTATTATTATATCACTAGAAACCCTAGCTAAGTCAGTGTGGGTTTAAGTGAGGGTGCTGGGAGAGGTAGGGCTTATTTCTCCCTGTACATATGTGTGTTGGGCTGGGATTCCTTTAGCCTGTAGTACAGTGATTTTCCTGAAGGTAGGTATAACCTTTGGATCCTGCTCTTTCCCCTCCCTCTACTGTTGAAGCTAGTCCCTTCTCCTTCACCTAAAAAACTGGAAATGTCAAGCCAGAAGACACCCCAACTTCAACTATGGATAGAGAATAATGCCAGATGCTGCAGGACAGAGGGCTGAGCAAACCAACCCCTGGCCACCCAGCACCATCTGATCCCCTCCCCCACTACCAACCGCCAAGGCAGTGATTCTAAGTCTCTGTGAAATCAAGGATATTCCAAAGACATTGGGGTCTCAGGGGACTCTAGGCATTTGAGCTCAAGGGCAGTAGAGACAAACAATTCTCCATTTATATTATCAAAGCAAACCATGAGGTGGTATTCACAGTTGGCTCAAGAAAATGCAGGACAGAGATGGAATGTACCTAGTGGTGTGTTTTGTGATTGGTCTTGTGAAAGGAGTCAAGAATATGTATCCAGGCCTTTGCCTTTCACACAGAGATAATGTGGGCAGGCCTTGGCATTCTCTTCATGTCCTCGTTCTCAAGTGCATTCACTTAGTATAGTTCATATAACTTTCTCTAGAAGAATGTCTTGTGGAGAGAACATTCTGTACTCAGACCCCACCCAGAGTTCACAAAGAGTTCACAGCTTTCTTACATAGGCTCCAGCACAGCATTCTTGTAGGCTAAGCCAATAAGTGCAGATGCTGAGTTACATAAAAACACTGTGTGGTTTTTCATGTGGCTCCATGATAGAGAACTTATCTACCATGTAGGAGTGTGTGGGTTCCACTCTCAGCACTTCAACAACAACAACTACAAAACCCCTAAAAACACAATGAAACAAAAGAACATAGTGGAATAGAAGGAAAGACAATACAAAGAGGGCTAGAGCTCATGATTTGTTGGCAGGAACATGGAATGAGGCAATCTTACGGTGGCCAGAACTGACTGAACAAAGGAATATTTCATATGAGTGCTCGGGGTTTTGAAAGACAGAAACAGAAATGGTTGAAAGCCTCTCGAGTCTACCCCTTGCTCTCTTATCCCATCCCTCTATACATGGTCACATAGAACTCAACCATTGCCCAACTCATGTTACTTTACTTTAGAGCTCATATCTGTCTCTGAGAATGGGAGCATCTTGGTCCTATCTACAGGCAAGTACAAGTACATGTCACTTCCCATTGGTGACAATACACTTCTGTCTACTCCACCTAAGGTATTTTGCTAGTCCCCTGAGCTGGTCCCTTTCAGCCTGTCCTTGATGAAGTCTGTCTCTGAGAAGGGGAGCATCTTGGTCCTATCTACAGGCAAGTACAAATACATGTCAATTCCCATTGGTGACAATACACTTCTGTCTACTCCACCTGAGGCA